ACACTGGTGAGACCTGCCTAGTATCCATAAGACTCTGGGAAAGGTGCTGTGTATGAGCTAGTTGCTCCCTCCCCGCTGGTGGGGACTTGGGGTCATGGCTTGATCATGGAGTCCATGTTTTGGCAACTGGGGGTGCTGTTCTTCCCCCTGCCAATGACTCATCCCAGTCCCAAATCCTACCCCAGTGCCCACCCTCTACTTCCTCACCCTCTTCTCCCTCTCCCTGCTCCCACAGAATCTAGGCATCCAGTCCCCTGTCAGCTTGTACCTGGGTCACCTTGGCTGAGGTTTATCCTGGGGGCTGAGAGCCTGAAGGCAAAACAGAGAATCCATCAAGGCCAGAGGAGGCATGTGGAAGAGCCTTGAGATAAGGCACCAGACAAAATAGGAGAGTGCAGCTGGTGCTGGGAGGGGAAGATTGCTCCAAGGCTCTTTAAACTCTGTAAGCTGCAGAAGTGTCTGAAGTGCCATCCAAGATCTGGTGATGGAAAAGACTGTGGTACTCATCACCGGCTGCTCTTCAGGGATCGGCCTGGGGTTAGCCGTGCGCTTGGCCTCCGACAGCTCCCAGAGGTTTAAAGGTAACAGGCACCCTAGGGTTTAGCAGCCTGCACCCCCAACTTGGGCTAGTGATAGTGTCCCGGGGTCCTCGGGTTGCGTGTGTGGTCCTGTGTGGAAGGAACAGGCCTGTGGGACCCCAGGCCAGGGGAGGGGTGGCTGTAGGTTTGAGATGGGGACATTCCCTGGGTGTGCTGCCTAGGGATGGGGTGGCGCAGCACCTTTGAAACCAGTGATTCTCAACCAGGGAACACACCATACTGAGCCTCTCAGGCCATTGGTTGGGCAGTTGCTGCCCCTGTTCTGTGCAGATGAGTACCCTGCTTTGATCACTCCTGTGGGTTGCATCCCAGGGGCTGGAGGAGTTGTTGCTTGTTCTGTTCCCTTGTGGCTCTGGGGGGAAGCAATGCCTCGGGCCAGCACACTGGTGGGGCAGGCCATCTCCTAGACTGCCAGTCTGAGCAGGAGCACTGATATTTCCTCTGTGGGAGGGGGCATTTGGGAGGTGTCCTTGCTCTTGGCGTCCCTGCACCAGCCCCAGGGCTTAGGAACAGTCTCCATGGGGAGGACTTTTCATGGTCTCAGCTGGGGGGTCCCCTAGGGACAAGGAATTCCCCTCATCCCCCTGTTGCTCCCTGTGCTGTGGGGGTGGGATCATGAACACCCCCCCCTCCCCCCCCAACTGGACTCTCGCTCTCTCTTAGTCTTTGCTACCATGCGTGACCTGGCCAAAAAGGAGCGGCTGCTGGAGTGCGTGCGGGGTTGCCACAGGGATACCCTGGAGATCCTGCAGCTGGATGTCACCAACCCGGCCTCATTGGCCTCAGCTATTCAGCGGGTGCCAGAGCAGCGTGTGGATGTGCTGGGTGAGCCCTGCCCTGCTGGGCCCCTGCTTCCACCAGTGGCAGCCTCGCTGCTGCTCCCTCTATGTCCTCTTACTTCCTGATCCTGCATCCAGCTGCAGGGAAGGGGGCCCTTTCAGAGCTGAAGGAGTTTCAGCTTCCTGGCCAGATGGGCACGGCACCAGGGGAATGCAGCCACGTCCCCCTTTAGGTGCCACACCAGCTGTGCATGTGTCCCTCAGGCAGCAGCTCTGGAGGGGATCCACCCCAGCCCCCCTGGGCCTCTGCAGGAGAAAGGAACAAGGAATTTCCAGCCAAAAAATTGGGAGTAAGGGCTGTGAAAGGAGAGCCCTAAAGGCTCAGCCCATACCAGTCATGACATTTTGGGGCCTGTCTCCAGACCATGGGATGTGTGGGGTGGGCAATGGGGGCACTGCATTAATGGGGTGCCCTAGTAACAGCAGGTCTGTGTGGTGTTTCTCTTGCCCCAGTGTGCAATGCAGGAGTGGGGCTGATGGGTCCCTTGGAGACCTGCTCCCAAGAAGCCATAAAAGCCGTTTTTGACGTGAATCTGTTTGGGACCATCAACACCATCCAGGCTTTCCTGCCTGGCATGAAGTGCCGCAAGGCTGGCAAGATCATCATCACTAGCAGTGTGGGGGCTCTGCAAGGTGAGGAGCCCTGTGGGGGGATAGGATCCCAGCCCAGGCTGCATAGCCCTGTTCCTAAAGCTTGCTGTGTCCTCCACTGCCCAGAACTAGGCACACTTCACCAGGCCCAGGGGAAGTCCTGACCTCCCAGGGAAACTCCAGCCTTCCTGCTTCACCTGCTCCTTGGACTTGGGTCTGTCACAACAGGCTGGTCCCAGGGTGCAAGATGCAGCTGCTGCTGCTGCACTGGAGATTGGGAGGGAGAAACCTTGGGGGATTTAGGGGAGACCCAGAACTCCTCCTCACCCAGCATGCACTGTCCAGGGTGAGGATGGGAGTGACATGCTTGGGCCATCAGCTGCCCTGCAGCGTGACCCTTGCTCGTGGTCTTCTCTCCCTGTCCTAGGGGTGCCGTTCAATGCCGTGTACTGCGCCAGCAAGTTTGCTGTGGAAGGTCTGTGCGAGAGCCTGGCTATTGTCCTGCAGGAGTTCAACATCCAGTGAGTGCCAGGATGTGCAGGGACTTGCTGTGCCAGGGCCTCTAGCAGGGTGTGACACTTCATGGGCCTTGTTAACGTAACCCTTCTGCCGGGCAACACTGGCAGTAAAAAGAGCCAGGTTCAGTTACAGAGGGATGTGTGTAGGTTTTTTTAAAGAGAAGCGCACAAAGTTAATAGCACCGACTTAACCCTTCCCTCCCCAGCCCTCCCCGAAGCCTGGGGAAACTAAGCTGCATTATCCGGGTACCCCACAGAGGCTCCAGGGGGTACAGAATACCTGTAAGAAAACTAGTGATCCATCAATCCATTAAGACACTTGCCCCGTCTCCCCTCTCCCTCAGAGAGGCTGACCAGATTGAGTTCATTACCCCGCTCCCTGCCTGGCATTTTTTCTCTTTGGAAACATGGACCCAAGAGAGAGGCTCAAATATTCCAGCCTTGGTCTCACTAATGTAAGGCAAAGCCACCCTCCAGCCTCTGGTGTGGAAATGCCAGGGATATCAGGAGGCATTGGAGACTCCAGAGAGGGACAGAGACAGGCAGGAATGATGACCAGGGAGCTGGAGAAACTTCTGTACAAGGAGAGAGAAAACAGGCTGGAGCTTTTCAGCTTAGAGAAAAGGTAACTGAGGGAGGATATGGTTGAGGTCTATCATGAATGGTGTGAAGGAAGTGAATGGGGACTGACTGTTTACTGTTGCTCACACTACTAGGACAGGGGATAGGTGATGAATGATGTAGCAAGTTTAAGACAAACAAATTTTTTTTTCACACAGCATGTAAGTGTGGAACCCCTTGCCACAGAATGTGGTGGAGACAAATCATTTAACTGGGCTCAAAAGGGGACTGGGCAAATTTGTGGAGGATGGGTCCATCCACTGGTTTCAAGCCTGATAGGGTGCAGCCTCAAAAACAGGACTTCCTAGATCTCTGAATGCTGGAAGCTGGAGGGAGAGAGGGGTAAGAGATAGATTAGTCCAGATAGGCCCTGCATAAATATTCTTCCCCTTGGTATCTGCTCAGTGCCCTGTGAGATGCAATACACTGGGCTGGATGGACCTGTGGTCTGACTGTGTGGCATCTCTTACATATTTTAGCACTTCTGCAGGGCTGTTGCTTTAAGATGTGCCACCTGAAGTATATGCCATGTGCCCCTACCCCTCAGCTGAAATGCAGCACTCTGTCTGTTATCTGTGTGGGGAGGCCTGTTTCAGGGGTGTCTGCTGAGTGGGGTTGGGCTCTGTTTGTGGTGCTGGTGATGGGCTGGCTAGAGTTGCAGCCCTGTTTTCTGCCGCTCTCTCCTTCTGCAGCATCACTCTGATCGAGTGTGGCCCTGTCAACACGAGCTTCCTGTCCAACATGCAGAGTATGGACCCTGAGGGCCATGAGCTGCAAGGCCTGGACCCCAAAACGTATGCCCTGTACCGCCAGTACTCCCAGCACTGCCAGAGCCTCTTCCAGGACGCTGCTCAGGACACCGACGAGGTCCTGCAGGTCACTCTTGGCTTCTTGCTACTTTTTTGCCCAGGCACCTGGATTGGGTGGGACAAGGGGCTAGAATTAACCTTGGAACCAGAAGCCGGACGAGCCCTGTGAGAGCAGCTGACTGGCTTGGGGAAAGTGGTTTATCTATGTTATCTAGAGAAACTGCTCCTTTTAGAGCCTATCTCTAGCCTCATGTCCCTGGGGAGTTGGGGGTGCCTGGTTGGCTCCAGCTTCCCCTGCCCTGCCTACACAAGTAATTGAGGAAGCAGAGGCATGAAGTCTGCACCCCAGGCCCAGGAGCTCTGTGTGGGGGCTGCTCCAGGGGGCACTGCAGTGTGCAGAGCTCCACACCAGTCATTGACAGCATAGCAAGACCAGTGTCCCAAAGGAAGGGTGACAGTCCCTGGCAGGCACCATGCCTTGCCTGAGAGCCAGCTCCTCCTGACCTGAACCTCCTCATCCTTTGCCAGGTGTTCCTGGATGCCATCTGCACCCCCAACCCACCCCTGCGCTGCTTCACCACCCAGTTCTTCATGCCACTCACCAGGCTCAAGCTCTTGAGCCCCGATGGCTCTGAGTACGTCCAAGCCATGCACAAGTTCGTGTTCTCCACCAGTGAGCCCCAGGGGGACCAGGCCTAAGGGGGAAGCAGCATGGACACCTTGGGCAAATGATCCTGGCTCAACATGGTGCCCTTCTCCTTTGGATGCCCCCATTGCTCTGGTTTTGTACCAGGGGCTCTGCTCCCCCCTGGAGGTAGAATGGCTTAAATAAATCCATCTGCTCTTCGCTTGGCTCCTGGCTCTTGGCTCTGTCCATCTTGCTGGCAGCCCCAGTGCAGAGGCCAAGCACTTATGGAAGTTAAACTGTGCGAGGAATTTGCTGCAGGAAGGTCAAGGCAGCGTGGGAGCAGAGGGGGCCTTGTTTGAGTTTTGCCTGCCCTGCAGGAATCCCTGCTAGTTGCTAAAAATCTTTGCAAAGCAGAGCTGTGAAAGCTGCACAGAAGCAACAGAGAATGGAGCATGGGGTGGGCAGGTGGCCAGGGCCCAGCAGGGTCAGGGAGACTTTATCTGGGTGGAGGGCCTGGTGCTCCCTTGCTGTGTGCGCCAGGCATGAGGAAGGACACAGAGCAGGGCTGGTGATGGTTCTGCCTGCTCCCTCAGGCAATGATCACTAGTAACATTTCAACATGCACACGGTTGCTTGGTCTTCCCAGAACCAGCAGCTTATCCTTCCCAGAACCAGCAGCTCACCTATCACCCAGTTAGCTGCATGGGAACTCCCCAGTGCAAAACCAAGGCACAGAGCCCAGCGTGGGCAGCTGCCTACAGCCTCTGAGCACGAGGTGCGCGTCCTGCCTTCATGAGCCAGGCCACTTGCTGGAGCAAACTGGGGACCTGCTCTGCTGGCAGGGGTGTTCAGCACTGGACACGGGCTGTGGGATCCTCCAGGAGCTGGTTAGAGCTTGATGGCCCTTAGTAGCCATGGCAAGGTCCTGCCCTGGATGGGAGACTTCTAAACAAGGTCCTTGGCCTCCCTGCATTATGGGGAGCACAGGAGTCTCAGTGGCAGCAGAGGAAGCTCTAATTAATGTGGCCCTGGGCTGGGACTGCATGCTCAGCCCTACCCTACTACGTTGGAGCTGTCGCCTGTGGGAGGTACGAGGGGAGAACTGTCCCTGGCCAGGCTCAGAACTGCATTGTCACACCCTGCACCACTCTCCTGCTGTCCCCCTACCCTTTGCTTCTCTCCCTCTGGCCTCTGTGCATCTTTCCTCCTGGCCATCCTCCCCGCTACCAGTGCCCAGCCCCTCCCAGTTCTATCGTACAACTGGCATTTCAGCAGTTAATGCATGCCCTGAAGTGCCAGGGGGAATTCTAGTCATGAATGCCCCATGAAAGAGGCTGGGGGCAGAGGAAGGGGTTCTCCCTTCAGTAAGTGCCTCTTTCAGGCTGCCTTTGGACTTCTGGTTATGCTCAGGACAAGTGCAAAAACATTTCTTCTCAGGCATGAGGGCTGACAACTCAGAGCCTGCCTTTTTCTTTTTTGGCATTGAAGAAACAGACGTGTGAGCCTCTGGTTCTGATATGAGCCCCAACTGGTTCTTCACCCTTCCCTGTTTTGCAGCTACAAAGAGGGTGGATGTGGTTTGGGGCTGCATCAGTGGTAGTGCCATGACTTGGTGCTCTTTAGGCCTCATCTTAAGTACTGTGTGCAGTCCTCAGCTCTGCATTTAAAAAGGATGTGGAGAAGTTACAGAGGGCCCGAAGTGTGTGAGTAAAAGGATAAAAGGTTGCGGAAGGCAAGCTATATGAGGAGAGGTTGAAAGAAATAAGGAAGTTCAGCTCCTATAAAAGGTGATTAAGAGAGGACATGATAGCAATCTTCAAATATCTGAAAAGCTGCCCCAGACATGGAGAACAGCTTTTTTCCCTCTCTGCAGAAGGTTGGATAGCAATGGCTTGAAATTGCAGCAATGTAGGTTTAGACTTCTTTATTGTTAAAATAGTGAGGCAGTGGAATAGCCTGCCTAAGGAAGGTGTAGTATCCCCTTCATTGGAGATGTTCAAGAAGAGGTTGGATAAGCATTGGTCAGGGGTGATTTAGGAGTAGCAATGCCAAGATGTGCTGTGAATAGAAACATATAGAAGCCCAGGAGATCCTCACACATTTAGAAATAACGAGATAAAGCCCTGCAGTACAGAGCAGGTGGGAATTGGAGAGGACCATGCTCGGCAACAGGAAAACTGTGCAGAGCTTCACAACTAGCTTGGTCCTGAAACAAGATTAAAGAGCTGGGACAAGTTTATGAGAGGACAGAGGGACATATAAGGAAGTTTTGGCTCTCCAGGCAGGGTGTGAGATGTGTGGGGCTGCGTTTGCAGTCCCCAGGTTGTAGTGCAGAGTGGAAGGTGTTTAGTTTTCCTAGGCTTCTGGACTTTGCTTGTTGCCACATGGGGCTGGCAAGGATTTTTTTTCCTCCTTCCTGTTAGCTATTAGTGTCTGGAGGGCCTTATTTTTGTCTTTCTCAGAAGCACTGGGTTTTAGCTGAAGCCAAGGCCAGGGTGTACAGATGCTTTTTCTAGGACTTAAACCCAGCAGTTTCCCGGTTGGAAGGTTTTGCTCCTCTGGTCAGGGTCACACCATTCACCACATTTGGGACCAGGAAGGAGTTTTATCCCATGATCAGATTGACACGGACTGCGGCATGGAACATAACAGCGAGCATGGCCCTATTTCTTGGATCTCTCAAAAGTATTGTAACAAATTACCTCTATCCTTGCGGTAGCAGGACATTGACAGTGCCCTCTTTCACCTGCTTTATCTGTGGCAAGTTAGAATATTCTTGATATTTTGGGCACTGTGCCTGGTAGTTGTGCATGAGGGGTGTTCACAAAGTTTTCAGGAGCTGCTTAGATGGACACTTGGCTGCAATGCTTGAGTCATGGACAATTCTTCCTTAAGCAGGGGGCTGGACTAGACGCCCTCCTGGGGTCCCTTCCAGCCCTACTTTCTATGATTCCCTGCTGGGGCCTCTCCTTGAGGCCTGCTAGCAACATAGAACTGTGTGCAGAAAGAGACCTCCAGAGTCACCCAGCTCAATCCTTGCCATCAGAAGCACCCAGGGTGTATAGTGCTGGTCATGAGCCTACTGTGCCTTAGTTACTAGCTTTGAAGGCAACTTGGTTGCTCAGGGTTCCTCTTCTGTTTTGCCCCAGAATTTCCCCAGCCATTTCCTTCTCCCTGGCAGTGAACTGGTTGCCCCAGAATTTACCCAGCCATTTCCTTCTCCCTGGCAGTGAACTCTTGCTACATGATGCTAATGGCAATGCAGCAAGGGAGGAGGCCTTTGAGTAGCCCGCTGTGAGTGATGGAGCTGGGGTTCAGCTGAGGCAGCAGCTGGTCAGGTTAGTGGCACATTGTGCTTGGCAGCAGGTTGTGATGAAGTTAGCTTCATGTAGGGTCAAGGGAGGACCCCAGTGCATCGGACATGGCAGAGGAGGGCCAGAGTAGCCTGAGCTAGTAGGCTGAGGGTTGTCTGAGGATGCCCAAGACTGTCTGCAAATTACCTGAGCTGCCCCTTTCTGGCAGCTGGGGGCCCTGCTCCCTCTCCCCAGGGAAGTTCACTACATGCCTCCTTCACACATGGCTTCTGCAGTGCCAGGTACAGGATGCGCTGCCAACAGCTGCTTCTTTAACTTCCAGCCAAGTTACAGCCCTTTCCCGCAAGGAAGCAGCACAGATGAAGACTCGGGGCTAGGCGGCATTCTGCAGATCGCGCCGTGGGGCTCAGCTGAGCAGGCAGGACAGGACAAGCAAAGCAGCGTGGGTGCCACAGCCAGCACTGAACAGCCAGCAGACAGCACCAGGCCCAGCTCTTCCAGCATTGTCCCATCCATGCCAGCTGCTGGCACAGTTTCACCCATACATTTTTCAGGGGTGAGGGAGCAGCTCCAGAGCTGGGTGGGGGGGATAGCAAGCTCCAGGGGGAGCAGAAAGAAGGTGAGGGCTTGACAGCCATTCCCCCTGGGGACCCATGAGTCATCATTGGCCACAAGATGAACATGAGCCTTTAATGCGATACTGTGGCTAGTAAAGTGAGCAAAACGCTGGCTTGCATCCATAGATGCTTCTCAAGCAAATCCCAGGACGTCATTCTCCCCTTGTACTCGGCCTTAGTGAGGCCGCAGCTGGAGTATTGCATCCAGTTTTGGGCCCCACAATATAAAAAAGATGTGGAGAAGCTTGAGAGAGTCCAGAGAAGAGCCACGCGCATGATCAGAGGTCAGGAAAACAGACCTTATGACAACAGGCTGAGAGCCATGGGGTTCTTTAGCCTGGAAAAGCGCAGGCTCAGGGGTGATCTGGTGGCCACTTATAAGTTTATCAGGGGTGACCACCAGGATCTGGGGGAACGTTTGTTCACCAGAGCGCCCCAAGGGATGACGAGGTCTAACAGTTATAAACTACTGCAAGACCATTTCAGGCTGAACATAAGGAAGAATTTCTTTACTGTCCAAGCCCCCGAGGTCTGGAATAGCCTGCCATCGGAGGTGGTTCAAGCACCTACATTGAACACCTTCAAAAATAAATTGGATGCTTACCTTGCTGGGATCCTATGACCCCAGCTGACTTCCTGCCCTTCAGGCAGGGGGCTGGACTCGATCTTCCGAGGTACTTTCCAGCCCTGTCTATGAAATCTATGGGGAAGTGTTCACAGACCAGTTGGCTGTTGGCACTATAAGTCAATGATAGCATTGAGTGTTCCTTTGAGGTGATCCTACTTGTTTGCAAGTGATGCACACAGAGTCCTGCTTCCGTGTGCATGGCAGGAGTGGTTTCCTGTCCCAGGATTCAAGACTTCTGTCTCCAGGCAATACTGTACTCGAAAGCACTCACTTCTGCTTGTTCTCTCTTCCTAGTTCTTGTGACAAGAGCATGGATGGATCTAGAATTTTGAAAACAGGAGTGCAGATGGTGCAGTGCATCATCACATAGAAAACACAAGTTTTTCTCCAGTTAAAAATGAACTACAAGCTTTACTAATATGCTATGGACCTAGGGCTGTACTCTTCAGTTTGAACTTGAAGCAAAAGCAAATACAAATTTGTTGGAATTAGTTAAACACAAGCTGCAGGGCTGTAAAATAAGAGTTTCACTACCAGGAGCAGCTAAGAGACAGCAGAATGGCAAAAGAAAGGTTAGTTTGATTGGTGGAACATCAAGACCATTAAAAAGGATAGAGGGGGGTTAACACCTGTGGAATGAAGGGTTTAGAAAGGATCAGGCAGATTAGAATGAGCCATGAAGTCAACTGACTCCCTCAGCACTGTCCGACTAGAAATGTTGCTGCCCCTCCCAGGTAGTTGGTTTTAAAGTTTGGGTGTATCAAGAATCAAAAGGGGATGCAAGTGCACCACAGCAAACCCCCTGGATATACCCCTGTATGTGTAACTGTGCCACTACACTTCCCTGGATCTGTCCCTGGACAAGAGTGTTGGGCTGTCTGCAGCTTTCCCCATGTCTCCATGGTGTTCCTGCCTGCATGTACCCACTGCTCCATACTACCTACCCCACTATTCGCATCCAGCCTCCAGTGAAGGCCTTAGGCTTGCTTAGCTCATCTCCTACAGGCAACCTGTGCTTTGGGTGCTCATCTCAAAGGACAGATGTGGTCTAGTCTCCCTGGATTCTGTTCTCTTTCTCTTGGCTTGCTTTTCCCATGGTCCCAGCATCCCTGCATACCACTGGTTCTATGTAGCATGTGACTCTCTGCTTGGAAAGAAGGAAGCAGATGCAGGGAGCACTTCTCTGGAGAAGTACTATGGAGTCCTGCTAGCAGGGTATTTGGCCTTATATCCATTGTCCTGCCACTAACAGAAGATGCTGCTGTATTCTATAGGCATGGGAATGCAGGAGCTGGGGGACTGGAGGAGCTCAGGAAGCTTTCCTTCCCTCTTGCTTGTTCAGGGCAAGGTCACTGCCAGTGTCAATGGGGCTTGGATAGAATGGCCCTTGAGAACCCATCATAATGCCTTTACATACATGCTGGGCTGGCAGCACTTGGCTAACAGGGCCAGCCAGTGCCATGGACTTGCTGAATTCCCAAAGGCTCCGAGGAGCCTGTGAGGTATTTTGTGGAAGAGTTTTATACCCTAAGTCATTTTATGGCTTCTTTCCCATTTGTCCCTTGACCAGTGTGCAGTCCCCACCCCCAGTGGACTCTGGTGCCTAGGTAATAAAAGCCAGCCGAGTGCATGCCGGGAATGGAAAATAGGAAGAGTGCTGCAGTCACGCGGCGGGACCTGGCCCTTGTCCCTTCCACAGTGACTGGGTATTTCCATCAGCAGGACCAAGAGAATCACAGACACTCTGCTGCTCTGACCATATCTGCGCTCACTGTCCAAGACAGGCTCAGCTGTGCTGTTCTGTTGTGCCTGGCAGGCAGACTGGGGATTTGGGCCACAGCTCTCCATCATGCCCTGTGCCTTTTGCACACAAGCAAAACCTACGTTTTCCTGCAAGAGCTTTATCTTTAGCTGGGCCAGGGAAAAGTCACGTTTCATGGGTAATTCATTCCTTCATGCTCTGGAGGTGATTAGCATCCTGAATGAATTAATATGGAGGCTGGCCCTGAGCCAGCAATGTGATCGGCAGTCCTAGGAGACAGAGTCTCTACCTCTCTTGTGATAGCCCCTTTGCACCCTGTGTCACCCCAGGCCAGGCAGATGAGGAAGTGCTCCTGGCACAGCATGTTCCCATTACCTAATTAGGTGGCAGGTAGGTCTCTCCAATTCCCACAGGGTTGTTCAGATACAGGAGGGCCAGAAACTCCCATGGGAAAGGGGAGCGCCAGCCACACCTTCTGCGTAGTGCCAGGAGCTGCTGTCTCTATTTACCTGGCCAAGCAGGCGTCTGTCTCTGGCAATGAGTTTGCTCTGCTACTGTGTTGGCTTAACTTCCTGTTCCCCCCTCCTTGGACACTCTGCAAACACACCCACTGGATACAGGAGGGAGGCAGGCTCCTCTTTGCAGTATGGAGGAGGGCAAATAGAGTCACAGAAGCCTGCTGTCATTGATGGTGGTCCTTTCCCTCACTTTGGTGGGCTCTTGATCAGTTGACTCGTCTACAGCCCTTGGTGGGAAGAGAACAAAGTCCTGTTCACTGGGTTTCTCTCACCCCATTCCAACGGCTAGCCTTCACTTCCCTGCCAGACCAGGAAGAAAACCCAGGAGCCCTGGCCCAACCTGCCTGCTCTGTCCTTCGTATGGAAGCACAGCTCCTTGATCCCAGCACAACTCCTCATGACGCGTCAGGCTGGGCTGTGCCAGAGACCAAGGTTTGGCACAGATTGGGCTACAGGAGCAAAACGATGGGTGGGCAAGCAGGGCATGAACCAGGGGTGCTGCCTAAGGGGGGCACTGGACTGGAACAAGGGGGTACCTTACCCTCCTGTCCCCCTGACCCCTAGCTCTCCACACCCTGCACCTTCCCTGCAATAGCTCTGGCTCCAGCTCAGGCCATGCACAGGACAGAGAAGCAATGCTGGTTCAGAAGGAGCAGCCAGTGGCTGATTCCTGCAGGGGGAAATGTCACTTCCTTTTCTGGCAACCAAAACCAGGTGGGTTTTTGGCTGCTCAACATGCATGTCAGTGGCAAACATGTGACACTTCCCCCAGCAGCAGGAATTCTCTAGCTGCTGCCCCTGTACCACCCACTGCAATGCCCTCCCTGCTACAAGGAAGGTGCAGGGTGTGTGGAGGTGCACTGATGGCCTAAGACTGTGGAACAAACCCTCACCCAGGAGGGAAGGCCCAGCTTGGATCTCCCCATCTCCTGCTCTCCATGCCAGGAACATTGCTCTGACCTGCCCTAACATGAGCATGTAGCAACTGGGGCAGTTAAAAACCTTACGCAAGCAAACCAGGCCACCACATCAGGACCCCTTGTGGGGAGAGGAGGAGAGACCCAGCCACATGTGAGGGACATGATTCATGTTGCTCGGTGCATGACAGGATGGTGCACAGGTTCTGTGGCGTGGAGCCCAGCAAAAGAACTGGGTGGAACAGAATAGATGCACCAGTGGGATGGGGAGGGGGATTACGGGTCAGGGGTCCAAGTGCATCAAGAGAGTGGGGGTGGTTGTGCACAAAGCCTCTCTGGTGGAACCCTGCACTTTGTTAGCACCGGGTGCAACAGCAGAGGCAAGTCCAACCATAGGCAACAGGGGTAGGGCAGTCACACTGAAGTGCTTGGGTCCTTGACCACTCAACTCCTGCTGTCAAAGGAAACAGGTGAAACTGGCTGCATCCACTGCTCGGGGTGCCTAACGGCTAGCTGCCCAGCACGGTGCAGTCACATTGCCTACAGTGACTCCATCTCCAAAGCCTAGGCTCACCTACTCTGAGACAGGGGAGTGAGTCTCCCACGTCAAGAGGTTCTGCACCTCATGCGTCTCAGGACTGCCTGTCTCCATGAGGGATCCTTTGAGCAACTTTGGTGCTGTCTGAGCACGGAAGATAAACCTGGTGACCTCCCTACCCTATGTCTTCCCAAGGGCTGACACCATTCACTTGGCAAATACATGTCCACCCACCACCTCCCTGAGAAAGGGGGCGGGGGCTTTGCAAGTTGCTGTCTCTTCCCCCTTTCCCTGCCTACCCACCCCAGGGGCATAGGGCTGGATATATAAGGAGGGAAAGGCTGCCTGCTAGATGCTGGGCTTGGCACTGAGGACAGCAGGAGCAGAGAAAGCACAGGTAAGAAACCTCCGTGGGCTTTGTGTTTGTCTCAGGGTGGAATCAAACCTACTGAAGGGGAAGGTATGGGGGAATCCAATCACTGGGTTTATAATAATAAACATGGCCAGCTAGAGGGGTCTTCCAGACTCCCCTTGCCTATTGGATAGGACACATGATGACTATTCCCTTGGCATAAAATCCCAAAAAATAACACAATAACTCAGCATACCTTCGCAGCAACAGGTCTGAAAAAGCAAATCACTTCCCTGGAGGGGTGGTCAGAGTAGGGGATTACCCAGGATGTTCAGAAGGAGTTCAGCACCAGGAATG